CTGCGTACACCAGTCAGCTGGTCACCGTGCCTGCAGGGTACAACTTACTAGCCTGTTTGACCTTTTTTGGGTGCAGTCCTGTCACTCGAGTTGAACTCGAGTTGAACCTTGGTGTGAAAGTTGTCACCTGCTGGCGTGGTGACCAGGTGATTTGGGCACCCAGGAGCACGTGACCACTTGTTCAACCATGTTCGATTGGGAATAAAGGAGGAACGCTGCATCGCAGCCTTTTCGGACCAAAACCAGTCGACTCAGCGTCCAAAAGACTACAACATATGGGCCAATCGCGGTCATCCGTGCTTTTATAAGAACGAAATGGCGCTTTTAGTGACATTTTGCATACAAATCCCCATCTCGTAGGGCGCAGTCACCCAGTTTCGGTGGAAGTGCGCGAGTTCGATTGGGATTCAAGTAGGAAGGGAGCGTCTCAGCTTCCTCGGACCACGACCATTCGACTCAGCACCCCGAAGACTACAACTGGTGAAATTTTAATTTTTGCCTTAACTTATTGGGAGACCTGAATGCAAAAGTAGGGAGCGCCCGACCTGCTTCAGGAGGTGCAGTGGGATGTTTCTCCAAGCACGTATCAAGCAACGCGAACGGTGAGAGACTGATTGAGCTGTGTGAGGAGCAAAATCTGATGTTGTGCAACACCATGTTCAAACATCGTATGCAGCATCGTTCGACATGGTTCTCGGATGGGCTCGTACACAGGGATGGCCAACCTGTTCGAAACATGATTGATTTTGGGATTATGCGAAGATCAAACACAGTGCGCGTTGTGAATGCCAGGTCATACGGTGGATTCACAACAAGATCCGATCACCATCCGGTTATTGCAGATTTTCGACTAACATTCTGGCGGTGTACAACATCTAAAGCAACCAACGACCGCTGTTTCATCAAGTACAACGAACCCACACAAGACTCTGCTGAAAGTTTCAAAGATGCCATAGCAAGCACGTTGCCAGACATAAACACCTCGCCTGAAGATATTTCCACGCTAGACCAAACCTGGGAGAGATTTGTGTCATCTACCCATGCAGCAGCGGAAAAGGCATTTGGAAGAAAGAAACCACAGAAGAGGATTGCTAGAAGTACGAGCCCTGCTGTCATTGAGCTATCAACTCAACAAAAAGAAATTCACAGCCGGATACATATGGAAAAAGATCCGAACAAGCGGAAAGAACTAACACAAAGTAGAAACAAGATCCTTCACCGTATCCGAGCATTACTCAGAAACGAAGGTGACTTATATTGGCAGCACAAAGCGGAGGCAGTGGACGCATTACGACCGGATGCAAGATCGTACTTCAATGCCATCAAACAGCTAAAAGCACTTCGAAATCCTGACAAACCTTCCCCAGTACGACTCGCAAATGATAGTGGTGAAAATGTCACAAATGTAAATTGGAATTTGGAGGAATTCAGCAAGTATTTCGCATCAGTGTTTTACCGGAGCGACCAGCCAACGCTTTTCCCGGCACAGCCTAACAGTAAGGCGAAAGACGAACCATTTACCTCTGAAGAGATTAGGAAGGCCATCATGCACCAGAAAATCGGAGGCGCTGTTGGATGTGATGGGATCAGTGCGGCACTGCTACGTACGGCTTCGACTGTCATTACTCCATGGCTGACTACCCTATTCAACTCCATTAAGGAACTCCACTATTGCCCACCTGACCTTAGATGTGGCCTTCTGGTGCCAGTATACAAACGAGGAAAACCTATGGGTGAACCGAAAAGTTACAGACCGGTCATGCTGCTATCAGTTGTTCGCAAGGTGCTGACCCGCATCATCACCATGCGTTCACAACAATCTACCACCTCATATGTACGTGAAAGTCAGGCAGGCTTTACACCCGGACGCTCCACGGCTGACGGAGTTTTCTATACGCGTGTCATGTGCGAACGTGCACTACTCGGTGACTGGAAATACTCTGCCGCACTATTAGACTTCAGCGGAGCATTTGATACCATTGTCCGTGAGAAGGCGTTGGCGCGATTTTCAGACTCTGGAGCTGCCACTGATGTCGTTGCCACTCTGATCTCGGACACGACGGTGAGAGTGAAACTCAGTTCTCATTTAGGCAAAGCGTTTGCTACAAATATCGGAGTAGTGCAGGGGGATCCGCTGTCTCCCATCATGTACAATGTGTATGCTGAGGGAGCCATGCGCCACCTTGATCCTATACTATCGCACTTATCTTTACCAGCACCAACCACCCAATATGCAGACGACACAACAATCCATGACACGGAGAGGCGAGAAGTCGAGGAGATTGTGGAGAAATCAAGTGAAAAATTCAAAGAAGATAACCTAATGTTAAATATTCAGAAAACACAATATATTACAGTAACTAAAGCCGACTCCTCTTGGCGATCTGTCAAGCTGCTTGGCTCTTTGTTGGGGTCCGCAGAGGATATTCAGGCAAGAATAGGTGCTGCGAATAGAGCGTTCGGCTCCATTTCGTGGAAGCGTCATAAACTGAGCTCCAGACTTTGTATGTTCTCTGCCCTCATTTTGCCTATCCTGTTGTATAACTGCGGACTGTGGGCCCTGACACAGCAACTCAGTAATCGGCTGGACGCATGGCACCGCAGAAAATTGCGGTACCTGCTTGGTGTGGTGTACCCTCACCACATGTCGAATGCCAAGGTGTACGCCTCAACGCGACAAGGCCCAGTCAGCACTACCTGTCGCAGACGTCGGCTGCTCTGGCTGGGCCATGTTGTTCGCGAAGGACGTAACTCAGCGTCCTACCAAGCACTGGAGATGGCAATTAATACCCGGGACATCAAGCGCCCACGTGGCCGACCCCATCTCAGATGGATTGACAATATTAAAAGTGATCTAAAGCACGCCAATATTGATATTTCTGACTGTTTTGAACTGGCTCTAGACAAGAAAGAATGGCTGATGCTTGTGGAAAAATGTGCTGCGCTTGCGTAGTTGTTCTTGCTGCGATACGTTCTAACAATAATGAGATGCCTTTTGTCGGCTCTTCTGCCTGGATTTCGTTGACAGATGCGTTAAGCCCATGGATCCTTCCATGAGTGACATGCGAACTGTAACTATTATTATATATTATTATTATTAACTTCCCCTTTAATTCGTTGTTTCTGGTCACTTCACTCATCCGTAAACGGGTCGGTCGGTCGGGTTTATTTTATATTTTATTTTGGTTACTGCCATGTGCATACATATACATGTACATGACACAACTGTGCATATGAAATATCCAAACTTTTGTCCATCAAGCCAGTCGATCAAATTTGACTGTAGACGATCCAGACCAGTCCTATCAGGTCCAGGTCTCCTCCAGGACCAGATCTTGGCCTCGCTGACAAACGAGTCTGACGATCGGCTCTCACCAAACGTTCTGTCAAGGAGCGACGCGATGGCGGATCTGATGCTGTTTCAGGACCGCTAGCGGATTGGAGATAATGGAAGACGATGTCATCACCAAGCGCTGCATCATGTCATTTGGCTGCTTCCTAGGTCGATGTCTGAACTGCTGAAAATCGATCGCGATCCGCGGATCAGGAATGATCTGCACTAAAATCGCTTCGGTCTGAAAGTTCTCGACGCGAAAGACCCTCCCGTCGTGTTCCGTCCAACACGATCGTACGAAAGCACACATACACATACACATGCACATGGTGCCGCTTTCAGAGCATGTACATTTGCATGTACAAAAGAAAACATTTTGCGGTCGCATAAAAAGAGACGGTCGGTCGGGTGACCCGAAACAACGAATTAATTTCCCGTACGATAGAGTTTATTTATGCACCCCCGTATTTATATACATCTCCCAGGTTTAGTGTACCTGCTTACATACGTATATGTCCCTGTGCGATCCGTACCGTACCGTATCTACGAATTTCCATAAACGCATTTGTCTCTCCTTATTGCTTTTCCTTCTCTCTCTTTCTCTTTCTCTTTGCTCTTTTCCTTTGGCATTCATACTGTGTGGTAACACTTTTCTTGCCCTTCAATTAATTAATAATACAGTGCAAATCTATCGAGCACGTCAAAGCGTCACATACAAGAATTGTAACACCTGTCATAACATGAGACCGCTAAAAGGGACGGGCGTGTGAGAGTATGTGCAGGACCATAATTGCAAGTGCGGATTGTGTTTTTGTGCTGTTTCAGATGACGGCCAACTGCATCTAATAGGTAAGGCCATTGCGTATGTTCATGTCCTATTCGTGTCGGATCCGTCTCTGAACGATATGTTTGTCTGGCTGTGTATTAGCATACATGTGTGTTCATGCCTTTAGTTTGACAGCATATTACAAGTAGTGTAGGAGTTGCATTTTGATAGAAAGTATATTTTTCGCGGTAAAAGAGTATTAAATTTTATTTGTAGAGCTTGTGTGGATACAGATTCCTAGGTTCGAACCCCAAGATGGGCAGTTAGTTACATTTTTTCTGAGGCTTCCTGCAGCTTCATTCATAGAAAAAAAAGGTTTCAGAGCAGACTCGCTGTCTTCCCATTCACTCTGCAAGCTCGAACTCATTTCTCAATTGCATACCTGATGAGGGCAATTTTGCCGGAACTTTGTAAGAAATTGATTGAGAAATGAGTTCCAGTCAGTTTCAGAGTGAATGGGAAGAGAGCGAGTCTGCTCCGAGTGAAACCTTTTTTTCCTAGCATAATATTATTACAAGGTGGTGGAACACCATTTTCATGTGAGAATCAGCAAGCCCAGGCAGGAGAGGATGAGCTGGGCCAGTGAAGTGTTGAGGAGCCTATGATGACAGTGTGGCACGTAGTCAGTGCTCATAGCCCCAACGCATTCACGCTGCCCAACCTTTCACTACTTTCATTTTTTGCTCATACATGTACATGTACATGCACATCCTTCAAAGCGGTGAACCCCTTGATAGGTGACAAGCCTCTGGGTCATCCTAATAAAGATATTATTATTATTATAGTCAAATGTGTTTTCTGTTGCATGGCTTTCGCATTGTGTATGCGTGTGCAATTGATAACATACTGTAAACCGCTTTTAAACAATTTGCATCACTAAATTTTCGCAGTCTCTCTGAACTGGTGAGTTTACGACGGCAAATGTTAACAGAGCACTGTTGCTACACGAATACACTCAGTGTTCTAGTTTTGATTTCACGCTGGTTAATACAGTTGAACATCGATTATCCGACCACCTCTGGGCAGACAACTGTCAGGCGGTGTTCAGATAAGGCAAATGTTCTGGATAAAAAAAAACTGTCACTCACACACTTTCAGTGGTTATTACTAGCCGCACGACCTTTTTACTTTTTACTTTTCAAAATTTTCGTATTTTTTGAATGGCTCACTACATGCACAGTGCGTACTCTACGGCACGTGCGCCCAAAAAAACTATTACGGATAATCGAATGGTCGGATAGTCGATGTGCGGATAATCGATGTTCAACTGTATTCACATTATGCTCTTCTCGCCAAAGTGGCAAACATTTATACATCGTGAAGATTAGGCAGTTTACAGTACATGACCTTGACTTATTTAAATGTGTCAGCTAACTCTCTACCATATCCATATTTGTCCTTGGGGCCAGTGTAGTCAGCAAACGAGAGAGCTTGGAAGCTCAGGGCCCTACGCTATGCTTTTTTGCTCAGCGAGAATCAACTAACTTTCTGTTTGCATTCGAGGGTAATACGACACCACCTACCGCCTCTACGACCTAGGCAAAAAAAAGCATAGGGATGTTATAAAATTCTCATTTCTCCTAGGATTCGAACCCGCACTATCGCCCTGCGCTGCATGCATTCCACCAATAGACTTCGCATACATACTCACTCTTCCAAGTTGCTTCACGTTATGATCTTGCATTTGAAAGCCATATATGAAGAGCGAGTCTGTGAAGTCGAGCATGGCTCCTTCTGCCCCGTCGTTCTCTCCACATCTGAAGGCATGGGGAAGTCAGCGACAGCGCTGTAAAAGCGCATTGCTGACATGCTATCGGAAAAGTGCCAGGACCCCTACTCCAGGGTAATGGCATGGATCCTCTGCTGGGTAAGCTTTGCGCTTCTTTGTGCCTGCAGTGCCTGCCTACGTGGAGCTCGTCGTCCCATCTTCACTCCCTCCGTCACAGCTACTTCGGTAGATCTCATGGTCGCTGAGGCTAGGCTCCAATAAGTGAATGATCCTTCTTGAACGGACTTCTGCTATCGATGTTGTGAGAGTTCGCCCATTATTATCATTCTTCGCTACATGGTTTATAATTGCGACAGGCTAAAGGGACAAGCACAACTTTCTTTGCGGATTTTCTGTTCTTTCCGCAAAAAATATTGTGGCCAACTGTCTTTGATGGTACGGTACGGGACAGGCACGGGATAGCACCAGGCATTTTTTTGCAGGCGGTAATTTTTATTAACTCTCAAAATAGAAATGAAAAACGTAAAATGTTTGGCACCTATGAGGTCAGGGGATGGCCCACGCCTGGAAAAAAAACAATGAGGAGTTAAATACAAAGAAAACGAACTGAAAATACAAAAGTAAATGAAACACCATTACCAAAAAAACTGTACTGTATCATGTACACCGTTTATGGCACCAGGGCACATTCAGCAGCTGCCAGCACAGCCGAACCAGACAGATGTCGAGGCGGGTTCCGACGGTGACCACGTAGACTGGCAACCATTGCTCGAACAAGGCAAAAGGAGATCTTCGCCCGTACAAAAGCCATCATAACCGGGAAAGGCTCACGGCGCTTTTCACACAGCTTGCTGGCAATCCTGGCAAAGAGTGCCGAAGCAGCTTTCCCCTGGCCGCCAGTGGTTGCAAAAACCACGGGTACAAACGAGAAATGCTCCACCTCCAGGACTCGCCGTTCATACTTACGGCTCTTCTCCTGCTCGTGCTTTCTGTAGACAGACGGGAAAGTAAGGTTTCGGTTGGTGGGGACAAAAGGGTTAAACACCCGAACATCAAACATTGTCCTCTCTAACCTACTCCCATACACTCCACGTGCTGCCACATCAAGACGAGCATGAGCCTCCGTGTTGGCCGACCGGAGAGGGAATGTTTCACCAGAGAGGGGTTCCAACTCTGGCTCCACGCTGACGTCATGCGCAACCTCACGCAACAGATTAGCGGTTAGATCCCGGAGCTCGTTGTGGCGCATCCCAGTGAATCCTCCGATGGCACATGATAGGGCATGGGTGGTGTCGAAGGGCTTTCCACAGGTGCAGTGAGACGGCAGCCGGGGAGGGGTCCAGCCGTAGCGCAGACATAGGGCATCCCGGAAGCCAGCCTTGTGGATGGTAAACTGGAACCGGCGAGTTGGCCGACTAGTGAGCCAACTGGAGGCACCTTTCTCTGCGGCTAGATCCAGAGTCCGCCTGTGGTCGTCACTCAGGGTATCCCTGAGGGAGGAGAGGGCCATTGCCTGATCTTGGCGATTAGCTGTGCGTTGGGCCGCCTTGGCTGCCTTGGTGGCAGCAACAACTTCCTCGATGGATTCCTCCTGTCGAAGGAGCTGCTCGACTAGAGGTCTGGTGACAGCCGTAGACGTGTCGTACTGCTGGGAAAGGGTCCCTGGGTTTAGAATTCCCAAACCACCATGACAAAGCACAGCACCAGGCATGACGTCCATTTTATGGAACACCCTGCCATCCGACGTGCGTGGTATTACCCAGTACCACCAGTTCAAACAAGCCTGCCTCCCGTTCTGTCTTGCTAGCAGTAGCACCCACTACTGAACACTACAGGAATCTTTGAACGTTTGCGGTACTCCACAGTACCAGTCATGTGCTGTTTACCGCCTCCCCGTTGTGGTATTCTAACGTTAACGTTATTCATTGACTGAGCGTTCTTTGCTTTGTACTACACCCTGCTATCGTGTTAGGCTATTTCCTACAATATTTTACTGTTTCCATTCGCTTCCATGTAATTGGGCGACACCGCCCGTTTGGTTCTGCGAATTCAAATAAAAATGTACCTACCTACCTACGTCGACGATGCTGTCCGTGATTGTACGGTACGGGACAGGTACGGGATACTGCCAGGCGCTAGGGATGCCGATTCTGTCCTGAATGGCACAGTATGGGACAGGCACGGGATAGCGCCAGGCATGCTGATGGCACAAACAAACAAACAAATAAACGAGAGAGCTTGGAAGCTCAGGGCCCTACGCTATGCTTTTATGCTTTTTTGCCTAGCTCATCGTACATGTTATAAGAACTGAGGCAAAAGTATTTGCAGAATTTATTGCGGATTGTTATTTCTCTAATAATCATCTTCTTTTGGTTTGCTCCTTCTTTTCTTTTTATCTCCTTATACTGTAAATCAACAAATTTTGGCTGATGAGAAATAGAAACCTCTCTATTAGAGAGGTTAAGATGCACGTTATTTCCGACGTGACGCGCAATTTCACGTCAAATTTGAAATCGATAGGTATTTTTGCTCTCACATGCATCCATTGCTCAATAATGCATCAATTATGACAAACTTTGCCCTGTGATTTACTTTGGCCGGTTGGTACCAAGCGGCGAAATCAGCGAAATTAAATCGCCAGCGAAAATTAGTTGATTTTAATACAGTAATCGGATTTTCTGGCCTTTTTGTAGTAATACATGTACATTGACCTGTTGAGCCAATGACGACGCCGAATGCATCGTTGGCTGTGGAGCACATTACATAACTTAGCAGTCTCCTAAAATACGTATCCTGTCCGACGGCAAAAGAGTCTGCAGATTTAGTTATTCAGCGCGTCGACGGGATGTCTGCGACGCGAAAGTTCAGCTCACGTTATTTGGCTCGCACGTCGAAAAATCAACGCGAGTGACCTGCTGCTCACGTGGAAATTTGGACATTACATAACTTTACAGTCTCCTATAATACGTATCCTGTCCGACGGCAAAAGAGGCTGCAGATTTAGTTTTTCTGCGCGTCGACGGGATGTCTGTCCTGACGTTCACTGGGACCGGCGCTGACTCTGCCGATCACGGGCGTTCTGGACTTGACAGGATGTCTGTCCTGACGTTTCCTGGGACCGGCTTAGACTCTGCCGATCACGGGCGTTCTGGTCTCAACGGGATGTCTGTCCTGACGTTGCCTGGGAACGGCGGACTCTGCCGATCACGGGCGTTCTGGAGTCGACGGGATCTCTCTTCCGACGTTTCCTGTGACCAGCGCTGAATCGCTTGTTCACGCTTATTTTGGAGA